ATTAAAATAAAAAATATGGCATTTAATCATCATAATAAAAAATTATGCAATTAATTGCGCTGTGATTATAGCTTTAAAAAAATATTTTGGGTTTGTTTACAACGCAACCAGCCATAAAGCGGTCAAAAATAACTAGCGTACAATTGGAGAGTGAGTGCATTTCATCATTAATTTAGTGATATTTATCGGCATAATATAAAATACTTTAGTTTTATTATGTTAATTAAAAATCAGATTTCAACTTTTTTGAAAAAATAAAGTTAAATTATAAGTTTTAATATTATTTTAAGACCGGTCAACTATTGGATCCGTCAGAAACCCTTTACCCAGTAAAAAATTCATTCGGTCATTTATTAGACCCTCTGATTTTATCACAATCCAATTAATGACCGTATATTTATAATACTAACTTCTAAACCTCAAAATTAAATCTGTCAAGTGTTTAAAGTACTTTAGTCATTCAATATTTTGTAAATATAAAAATAATCATTATAAAATGTATATTTATAATTAAAATAATACTTAAAATCTTTTTTGATTATTAAATTTTATTTTGTTCTAATTTTTTTAGTGAACGGTTATATCAAAAAACGAATTATTAGAAGAAAAAATTGCTAAGCAATTAAAAAAATAAAAAAGAGTTACAAGCTAGTAAAAAAGTTTTAATTGAAAAAAAGAATAAAAAATTTCAAGTGAATCAGAAGAATTATCGTCATCAAAATGAATTTGTGATTATTTGTGACCTAAAGAAATGTTACTTTATGTTAATTATTGCTATTATTTATATTATTTTATAAAAAAGTACGATTTAAAATTATGTTGTATGTTTAGTTTTGTTAAAGATGTGGTTAATACTTCAAAAGTACTGCATAAATTTAATTACATACATGTAGTTTACAAAATTACTTATAATTATTTCAGCGGTCAATTAATTGGAGAACGATCGGTCATTTATTGGGTTTCTTCGGTCAATAATTGGTGATTTTAGTATTTCAAGATTCAAATAACAAAATTAATATAATTTTGTTAATTTTTATTATAAATAGTTATTAATTATTATTAATTAAGTATTTAACTTTAATAAAATCCATTACAAATTGTTTTTAGTAGGTTAATTAGATTTTTTATCCCTTAGTACAGAAAAAGAAAACCTTAATCGGTCAATAATTGGTGCATTTACCCTATAACATGATCAAAATTCCATTTTTTTAATTTTTAGTAAATAACTTTTGATTTTTCTAATAGACTGAAATTTATTGGAATAAATATCTTGAGAACAAAAATATGATAGAGAAAAAAAACTCTATTTTGTAAAATTACTCTTGACACAAAAAAACAAAAATTTTCTTTTTTGAAGTAAAGTTTTGTTGAACTTAAATCATTTTTTTCTTCCTCTAAAATAACTTGAAAGTTCTTGGTACAAATAAACTTTTTTTTTGTATTGAAAAATCAAAAAATTACATTTTGATCATTATTACACATAAAATTTAAAGTTTATCTTTTGAATCAGTGAATCGAATTACTCAAAAATTTTTGAAGAAATTTAATAATTTTATTTTCAAAATATTTCTGATACGCATTTATCTTTGATTTAAAATTATGTAAAAATTTTTAATGACTTTGACCTTCAAATTTTTAAAAAACAATTTTAATCCTCATAACCGATAATTCTTATCATTTATAATGACATTTATCTAATCATTAAAATTCTTTTTTACTCAAAGTATGTAAAACTCCCTACAATTTTCGACAGAAGATAAAACTCTAAACTCACATTTAAATATTTTTTATAAAAAATTAATTACTCGTTGAATAAACATAAGACATTTTATAAAATAAATGAATGACACTTATTGAAAATTTTTTGTCTAAACAAATAATAATAAAAGTTTATTACTAATTAGTTTTTATTTTTTTTTTTTTAATAAAAAATCAGTACTCAAAGTATCAATTAATTATTTATTTACCTAAGAAAAAAAATAATTTCCAACTAATGAGTCACAGTGACAAGTTAATGAATACATATGTATACAAATTAAAATGTCAGAATTAAAGGAGAGGAAACTTTATCATCATCTTGAAAACTGAAATCCAAAGGTTATCATCTGCACTATAATTCTATAAAATAAAATATTGCGACCTTTTGCAATGTCACTAGAAACCGTTTTTTTGTTACAAGTTACAACATTCAGTATTATTATAATTATTAATGTATCATCATCATTATTCTGAAGGACTTTCAAGATTTAAAAATTTCAAATTTTTTTCAAAAATTTTTTTTATTGGATGTGCTTAAAAATCCATTATATTTATCATTAAAATTTATTCATTGTTTCAATTCAAATAGATCTTTTGTCTTTTTTATTGTTGCTAGAATTATAATAATATTATTTATTGACATTACAGACCAGTATATCAATATGATTATTATTAAAAAATTTTATGACACTAAGTTCAAAGTCCAGAATCGCAATGCGCATACAGTTCATTCTAGATTATAATAATTATAACAATAATAATTGTATTAGTAAATTAAATTATTTAAAATTTTTATAAAAATGATGTTAAAATTTTTTAATTATGATTATTATTAAAATGATAAATTATATATTTGATAAGAATAAAATTAAAAAATGAGTAAAATTTTCCATCGATAAAATTAAAAAACTTTTTTTTTAGATTTCTGGTTTGATAAAAAATAAAACAGGAATCAAAGTTTTAATAATACTGATTTACAATTCGAAACCTTGTGTCAAAAAATTTTAAACTATTCACAAAGAAAAAATTAATACCAACTGAATAATCTTTCATATTTTTTACAATCAGCGATATTGAAATCAATTAATTATTTCTTCCTTAAATTTTAAACCTTCAAAATTTATTATAAATAATTCTTAAAAATTATGAAAATTAATTTAGCAGATATTTAATAATTTTAAGAATTTTTTAACGAATAATGGCAAAAAAAAAATCAGAAAAAAAATTGTCATAGAAATTTAAAAAAATTAAAAATGCAATTTTTTCTAAAAGTAATTTTTCAAAACAAATTTATTTGCTAAAAAAAAATTAAAAACTGGCCGAGTGCTAACTTTAATGTCTTCAAAAAATTATAATATTTCTTCACTGAAGTTATCAGACGTCTAAAAATTTTTGATCTTTTTTTTTAAATTAAATTACAACTAAAAAGGTATTTCTAAAAAATTGCACCTATAGTTTTTTAAGTTTTTAACATGTGATAATTTTTTTTAAATTGTTTAATTGAAATTTTTTTGATAAAAAACTTCTAAAAATTTTGAAATATCAGCTAACTTTATTTTCATAATATTTTTTGCTCTAAAATAAAAAAAACTGAAAATTTTCCAACGCTAGTATATGCACAAATGAAGTAATAAAAATAAAAAAAAATAAAAATAAAAAGATAAAAAAAAGTACCTGCGGTGAAAGGACGTGCTAATGGGAACCAGTTGTTGATCATTGACCGTAAGAGAACTACGCGATCTTGACTTTCGCAGAGAAAGAGAAAGACCCTCAACCTGACCATTTAAACATCTATACAAACATACAAATACATATTTATCATTATTATTATATTATTCATCTGCAGTAACGGATTAAGAGAACAAAAGAAAGAATTAATAGTTGAGAAGAAAAAACTTACCGCAATGACCGGAGAAATTTAAATGTCAATTTGGTTAACAATAGGTGGCTGTCAACAATAAGAAGAAATACAAAAAAATTAGAATTTTTCGATCATTAATTAGTAACTCAAACTAGCTCTGATTAATTAATTTTTTATTAACCTATAAAACATAAATTTTTTAGTAACCGATAGGTTAAAACTGACACTCGTTAGATGTTAGATGGACATCACTTGATCAACTAGTGGATTCTTGGATTCAAATGTATTTTATAACATAACATCGTTGAATAATGCATCGAGTACGGGCACGGTGTAATGAGTGATTGCCTTGAAAACTAAACAATTATGGCGGATTAGATACGGGAAAGAAAAGATAAATATAGCCAGAGGCTAAAGCTACATACATAGAGGCGCAATGAGAGTTGGGAGTCATATTAGATATAAAAAAACAAGTAGCGGTAAATACTGTAGGTTGTGATAAAGTAACATGGAGAGTTATCTACTGAAGTCTTAGCAATTGAAGGTAACTTGTCGGCAAAATAAAAATATGAAACTTAAATTCTAAAATTAGCCGACAGCGAAAAATGTTTATTTTCTTTTTTATTAATTGAATTAGAAATAAAAAAATATTTTTAAAAAATTGCGCGTATAGTTTTGCTAATTTTTTACATGTCCAATTTTTTCTTTTGATTTTTTTGTAATAATTTTATTAATAAAACAATTCTGAAAATTGTCAGATGTCTGCTAATATTATTTTCATAATGAAGATAGCTTCATTCAAGTCAGAATTCTAAACTATAAATTTTTCATTTTATTTTTTTTGAGAAGAAAGTTTTTATTTTGTCAAAAAATACATATTAAGATAATTAAGGGAAGCCGGTGGTCTAGCGGCCTAAAATTTAAGCTATTTTAAAAAATTTTATTTGTATATGAAAGTAATGACTAATGTTTTCAAACTTTTTTTACACTTATTCTATTACTTATCAACTAAACAAAAATTAAAATTGAAACAAAAAAAAAATTTTTTTTAATTAGAAAAATGGCACTGAAGTTCCCCTCTCCAAAAAAAAAAAATGGACCTGACTGGTGTGTGTCGATTGATCTCTCCCTCAGATCCGATATTAAAAAAAATGACGGATTTTTAATTAGTATAAGTAATGTAAGTATAGTTATCGTCGGAACGAGAAAGAAAAAAAAATATATTTGACAAAATGGCACGTAGTTAAAAGTATTTTTTGAAAACGAGTTTCATCATCGTCATCAATTTTTCAACTGGGGGGCTTAGCCCCCCAACCCCCACCGGGGCTCCGCCTCTGGACCCCATCATCATCCTCATCCTCATCATCCTCATCCTCATCACCATCATCATCATCATCGTCCTCATCATCATCCTCATCATCATCATCATCATTAATTTTTTAACTGGGGGGCTTCGTCCCCCAACCCCCGCCGGGGCTCTGCCCCTGGACCCAATCATCATCATCACCATCATCGTCCTCATCATCATCATCATCATCGTCGTTATCATCATCATCATCATCGTCGTCGTCATCATCATCATCATCATCATCATCCTCATCCTCCTCATTATCACATCATCATCATCATCCTCATCATCATCATCATCATCATCCTCATCCTCATCCTCATCCTCTTCATCATTACATCATCATCATCATCCTCATCATGATCATGATCATGATCATCATCATCGTCATCGTCATCATCATCATAGGATTAACTTATAATAATATGGATATAATCTCGCATGGATATTATGTCGCAGATATAACGCCGCGGATATAAAGTCACGGATATAATGTCGCGGATATAATGACCTCGGTTACAGTGACATTTTACCGTATTTGTATATCTATATTCACAAATATAGGTATGCAAATACATAGAGTGATCATATACTAGTACATGATCATCTCTATTGGGGCTTTTACCTTACTAAATTTCTAAAGAATAAAAGAATAAAACAAATTTAAATATTTTATTAAATTTTTTTATTTCAAATTATTAATATATATTTAAAAAAATATTAGTTTTTATTATTTTACTTAATATTATAAATAATAACATTTACACAAAATAATTTAGATTATTTTAATTACATTAAATTAATATATTTGTACATTTTCAGACTATTTTCCTTTGTACTTGACTATCTTATCCCGAAAGTCGACCGAGTATCTTCTACTCAAATCCATTCAAGCAGTCACTTGAAAAGCCGTTATCACCGGGAAATGATCTAGAATAAAAATGAAAATTATAAGCAAAACATTTCTAGACTTTCAAAATTTGAATTAAAAAACCAAGAAATAGAATTATACATACTAGATGGAACAAAAGGATGCGGACAGGCCACTACACTAAGCCTATCGAACCATTCTTGCGGAATGGGGCCGTAGACTCCGAGGCACACCATGTTGGAGGACGAATAAAATATATAATCAATCATCGCCTTGAATCCGTATGTGTAGTTTGTATAAGGCATAATCTGTGGACTGCAGGCTGATGACAGATTTAGCGGGTGGGTAATTCTGTGACAACATTCTCCTCCCATCATGTTCATGATCGCGTTGATATAATCAAAACCCTGGAACTCAGGGTGACTCAGCGGCAGTTGATCCGTTGATAGGAACTGGAATACCCCTGTAAAAATATTTAATGTTAATAATTGGACATGATAATTGTTATCATGTTATCAATAATAACTGGCCGAGCTTAAAGACTTACCAGAATCCATCAGTGAATTGAAATCACCGCAGAGCAGCACCTTGATGTCTGAGAACTGGAGAATTCTTCCAGGCCAACTGAAAGATCTCCTCACGCTCTCTACCATGGAGACGATCTCTCTGGTCAGCATCATGGATTGGATCGTTTTAACATTCGGAAATTGGGGGTCCCAGTGTAAATGAGTATTTGCCACTAGGACCAACTGCTCGACATGATTTGAATCAACTGGTGGTCCACCAGTCCAGGCGGCTGCAGTGGTCTTTAACACAGCCAGCAGCCCGATATTATCACGACTCCAGACACGATTCAGCATGTCGGAGGAGTCGGCACGACTCTGCAGTGCCAAAGTTTTATACTCCACAAGTCTCGAACTGACAAAGGAAAATCTGAAATGATAAAATATATTAGATAATGAAAATATTGAATGAATTAAACATTAGATAATATTTATAAAAATTTAGTACTCACTTGTCAATTTTCCAAAAAGTAGCACATTCATCGACGAGCCTTCTCTTTGGCTCCGACATCGTCGAAGCTCGCGACTTTGGAACGAAGATTCCCTCGTATCCCATGCTCTGGAGGTTGGGAAGGAAAAAGTCATCGTACTGCTCCATCTCGACTTCCTGGAGGCAGATTATGTCGTTGTTGTACTGACATATTTCGGACATAACGTTCTGTCCTCGGACTTGCCAATCCAGGAACTCCTTCGGGCAATTTCGGTACATTTTTGGAGTAGCGTAAGAGCTACTCAAAACGTTGTACGTCATGATCGTGAAAATAATACTCGAAGGTCGTGATTCATCTAGTGGAGCCGTAGAAATCCATGGTCGGGGTAGCGGTTGATCAGATGCAGCTGAAAATTATAAATTCATAATTCATGATTTTGAAATTTTTTTTTAAACTTTTATGAAAAAGTAATCAATGGATGATAAAATTTTGTTTCATTTTAGCATCCCATTCAAAAATAAGTTTATTAAGTTAAAGTTTTATTGGAGTAAATAATACTTACCAATTTTTGTTAATTGCTCGTCCCACTCAGTAAAAACTGCACAAGAACCGTTCGTTGTAAAATTCATTGTTTTTTTTTATTTTTTAACTTTTAAGTTAAGTCAAGGTAATAACTTCAATCTTGAGACACAACTGATCACTTCAAAACCAAAACTTGGAATGACTATAATTCAGAATTTGGCAGAATCGGCCCTTCTTTCCCTTTCCTTCAAGAAATTGAAAACTAACTATTGGACAACTCTATTCAAAACGATAATGAGCAATAGGGGAGGGGGGGGCAAAATGGGCCCCCTAAAATTTTCAATATCCAAAAATATTTGGGGGCAAAATGGGCCCCCAACATTTTCAACTCTCGAAGTGTTTGGGAGGTATAATGGCGATGTGTGTGTGTGTGTGTGTGTGTGTGT